CGAGAGAGAGAGCGAGAGAGAGAGAGAGAGAGAGAGAAATTGTGTATATCTACCATGTGCTGACAGCTGACCTTTCTTAAAGCAGAACAGAAGGCTGGATAACTCCATATAATCTAGTTGGTTAGCGTACTGGTTAGGGTGCCAGTGATTTAAACCCTGCTTGTGGCAACGGCAGGTGCTTGGTTATGCCTTTACTCAACTTTCTCTCTGCAAGCAGTCCATCGGCTCGACCGTAACTGAGGAATGGTGCCTGCTATTCGTGTACTAGGGTTGTCATGATACCTTCATCACATAAATAAATAAATGAAACATACTGCATGCATAATAATGAATAAAAAAATAGAAAAAAATAACTTTTTTAAATCTTTAAGTTTTAAAACACTGTAATACTTTTAGTTAATGCATACAGCACAAGGGTTGACACAAAATACTTCTGGAAAACTGACAAGTTCTGCAATGTGACACTATACTCCATTTAAAACTATTTTATTCATTATGATGCTTGCATTTTTTATATTTCATTTTAATTCAGAGACTACTTGCAATATCTGGAGTTTAAAAATTCATTGGTCTCACCACAGGACCACTTAAGAAGGGAAAAAACGGAATTAAAATTGCTGAAACACTTCATGACCACACAAAAACTAAGATATACATACTCCCTTAAATATTAATATAAAGTCTAACCAAAAATCTTGATGTTAATTAAACAAAAAGTCCATGGAAACATTATGTGTCAGCTACTCACATACTCTTACATATAGACCGTGGGTGGGTTGGAGTGTCATGTGGAATATGCTGTGAATATTCTTACTGTACTATTAATACCCAGCAGCATATCTGGACGAGCAGCCTGTGTGTTACTGAATTACTGGATCTCTTTCCAAATCTCACATGAATGAACTGAATTTAATTAAATACCAACATTCCTGAGAGAAATCTCAGACCCCCTCCCTACACCTCTATGGAGTGGCTGTGTGTGCTTAAATACAGAAAACGTATGTATGTAAAAGTGATTAAATTGCATACCACTCATACTGGAAGCCACAAACGATTTCGAAAAAAGACAGAATAGAAACAGCAGGAAATAAGTCTTTGCAACTTCCGGCACATGTGCCCTTCTATTACAGCCATTATAACACAGCATCACATGACCAAATACATGAGCAAATCTGACAAACTAAACATCCACGAATCTTAAACTTAAAACCCCAACTCCTCAACTACATGCATGCATCCTTACAGTGGCCCCAAAAACTATTTGGACACTCAAATTGCACTTAGAAATCCAAAAATAAGAAGTATAGTGTAAATACACTTATTATGCAAAGCATTTCACAAAAAAAGTCTTTTTAAAAGGTATTCATTAATAAAACAATAGATGTATTGTTTGAAATTAAGACTAAAATGTATTTGGATTTAGAAGTTATTTAGTACTTAGAATTCTGGTTGTCAAATGTTGGGAAAACTTGTCCATGTGATTAACTACACCTGTGGTTTCTCTGCAAGGACACCTGTGTGACTTCATACATCCATTACCTTGACACCAGCTGGTGCTAAAGTAATGGCAAATTGGCTCAGAAAGGTGAAGTTGGTTAGCTTTAGCATCATCTGTTTGCAGGTGACACTTGGTTTGACATTTGCAATGACATCTAATGCAATGACATTTCAAAATGTATCCAAAAACCTCCAAATACTTTTTGGGGCCACTGTATATTTTAAGCTTCATAAATCTCACCTTCTTTTCTCTCTGGACTTGTAAAAAGGGAATAAATGTGAATTAAATAAAGCATATTTACCAGGTCTCGTCGTTTTTGAACTCTAGCTCTCCATACGCGTCCTCGAAGTCCTCTCCACCGCCCTTAGCGAGTCCCTCCACTGTGCGGAACGGAATGATGACCGTCCCTCTCGCTCCTGACGTCCGCAGCACTTTCACTTCCATGATGCCCACACTCTCACTCACGTGCATGGACTCGCTTTCAAAAGTGAAGATGCCTGCATGGTCATCGTCTAGGATGGTAACCGTGGCAACAGCAGGGAATACTATCAAGGCCTTTGGGTACGGCAGGCTACTGGGCGACAACACCTCATCCTCAGTCTCCAGAACACGGACGTTACTGAGCCGCACAAAGAAATGCTCGTCCTCTTCAAAGATGTCGTCATCGATGATGCCAACAGTGATCTCCTTGACGACCTCACCAGGTTTGAACACCACCATGCCCTCGGTGAACTCATAGTCCGCACCGGCGTTCGCCGAGCCATCTTCCGTTTTATAATCCACATAGATTGTCTTTGCGATGTCGCCACCTTTACGCACTATTGTAAGCAGAACGGCTCCACAGTTCTCCAGACACTGGTAAATGGCAGGCTCGAACATAATGTGGGACACAAACTCCTCAGGTTCTTCTGCGTTTACTTCTTGAACACTAGTGCTGCGTTTGGCCTGCTCGGCCACATGCTTCTTGAGGATGTTCCCGGCGCCGGTCATCATCCTCGTGGCCTGGATACGATAAAACGCTCTGCTTTTCTGTTGGTGTGAAAGTGCATAATAGTTGGCCATCTCCACCAGCTGGTCAAGCTCCTTCTCCGGGTGTTTCTGCTTCAGGTCCTTCAGGATACAGATCATATCTCTGCGAGAATCGTCCACCTCCTTGCCCTCAATCAGGCCCATCAAATTACTAGCAGCTCCGCCATCAACAAAATGAGAATTCATCATCTTTCCATCCATTTCGATACCTTTTGAACGGTCACCCTCCGTCTCAATAATGACGCCTCGGTGCTTGTCTGTGCGATATTTCTTGTGCATAAACTTGTAGAAGAGCAGGCGACGGTCAGCCATCCAAGCTAGAATGACACAGATGGGGAAGAACGCCAAGGTGAGAAGCCCTTCCCATACTTGGACTACGTTGGGCGAGAACACAGCCAGGATCATGTAGAGCCAGATGTAGGCAAATATGCTCCACGCCGTTGTCACGAAAAACACACGAAGGTGTTTTACCTTCCTGACCTCCCCTTCCGGTATCACCGACACGCACAGGCCGATGATCACAAACATGTTGAAGGCGGCGCTGCCTACGATGGTGGACGGGCCAAGTTCGCCAGCGTGGAACTCGTGCCCGCAAATCTCGATAACAGAGAGAAGGATCTCAGGGGTAGAAGAGCCCAACGCCATGAGTGTGAGGTTGGACACGGTCTCGTTCCACACTCGGATTGTCGTTGTTGTAGTCTCACCATTTGGACGCTTGATGATTATTTCCTTTTCCTGGGAGGTGATGACTTCAATGGCGGCCATGAAGCGATCTGCAATAATCGATACCCCCAGGAACATGTAGATCATTGCCACAAAGTACACAATGACCCTGGCGATCTTGTCACCCATGGAAGGGTCCTCGGGGTACCAAATGGGTAAGATGATGCCAGGCTGGCATCGATCTGTCTCCCTGATGCATGTGATGTTATTCGAGAGGGACGGGCTCGGCGTGACACCCGCCTCTGCGCAGAAGAAGGTTGCTGCCACGGAGACCAAGCCCAACCAGAGGTAGGCAGAAGTCTTTGTCCTTGAGCGATCCATGCACCCTCTTTCACCTCAAGGCAAGGGTCTTTGATCTCTAGCTGTCCTTCGGGAATCCAGCACTGGGCTGTCTTTGGTTCCACACGCCACCTGTGAGAGAAGAAAAGCAGGGAGTGAATCAGAGAACAAGAAATCAGTACTTAACTAATCAAAACACCTTCCTAATAGCAGAGGAAAGACACCTGACATCAGCGGTCAGGAGTATGAGCAGTGCACAAGTAATGTAAACAAACCTATTTGAGAATTCTGCAAATAAAGCCATAATACTTTGTTAGATTTGCAAGAAGTGCATGTGTGTGATATCATATGGTGAAATACTAAAGGTTCACACAGCAAAAAAACTAAAAGCAGGGTTGCTGCAGGATTTTTAAGCTCAAATTTAAGACTTTTTAAGACCTTTTTTAAGACCTGCATAAATACAATTAATACCATATGAGTGGGGTGGGGCATTGTCTATGGAAAACTATTAAACTGTACAATGACTGTAAAAAGCATGATTTACAGTTCAGATACAAGTTTTCACAAAAACAACAACGTTTTATAAAATGATACACTTCACATTTCAGCCTTTAAACAATTTTTAAGAAAATGGATGAGTCAAAAGTATGAATTATTATATTTATTTAAACAATTATTATCATTAAATTATTATATTAATTAAATAACATACAAACACATTTTACTGTTTAGATTTTTAAGAAGATGAATTATCTTCTTTTCGATCCACCAGTTCACATTTACAGCTCTGCGTGTTTGCAGGGTAAAAACATGGGTCGATTTTCGCATTGGTCTGAACAAAAACAACCCAATGTTCCTGCAATACCGGAGGCTGTTCTAGGACCGCATTTCTAGGACCCTATTTTTTTGGGACAGCGCCATCTAGCCAATTCTATTCCAACAGAGGAGACCTGATTTAAACATCAATCAAACAGATGCAAAGAAGACTAGATTCAAGGAAACTATACATTTTTTATCTTTCCATCTTATTTTTAATGTAAGCGCTAGAGTGAACTTGAGTGTTCGAGGGGGTGTCACCAATCTCCACAGCCTATTTAGCTGTGCAAAACAGTTAATTGTGCTGCTGGATGTTGTAAATTAGTATTTGTATTCAAATTATTTTACATTTATTAAAGTACTAATAATCACACTAATTTGTACCGCAATTGTTTTACCGTTTACTGCACTTTAAGTGGGTTTAGGCTTAGGAGTTGGTTAGGACAATAATTAAGTGTATACAATTAAACAACTACATAATTCCTTAAAAAATAATAATATACAGAATTGAATAGCAAGAGCTATAAAATAGTATGAGCCGCTAATACATACATTCATACAAAAAATAAATAAATAAAATAAAATAATAAAAAAAAAAAACTATAGGGTCCTAGAAATGCGGTCCTGAAACTGCAGCCTCCGGTATTGCACAACAGCCTTATTGAAAATGCACATTCATTCTCTGCCAGCAGGAGGAACTTTCGGAACTGTTTCCCCAGTAACAGCAGAACACAAAGCAGCGAAATGTGCAGAGCTCCTGTTTATTTAATAAAATCATAGCCTTCTGAAGTTTAATCGTCACATTAAGCTGTATCGCAATTCTGGTCTGTACCCAAATTTAAAGGGGTCATATGATGCTGCTAAAAAGAACATTATTTTGTGTATTTGGTGTAATGAAATGTGTTTATGAGGTTTAAAGTTAAAAAAACACATTATTTTCCACATACTGTACATTATTGTTTCTCCTCTATGCCCCGCCTTTTTGAAACGCGTCGATTTTTACAAAGCTCATCGGTCTGAAAAAGCGAGGTGTGCTGTGATTGGCCAGCTATCCAGTGCGTTGTGATTGGCCGAATACCTCAAGCGTGTGACGGAAATGTTACGCCCTTATCATACTGTTGTATTCCCTCAGCGACCAGCACGGATCAGCTCTAGGCATGACGAAGCGGATATCGTCCTCTTTTGGAAGA